TTTGTTTCAATTCTTCCCCAAGAGACTTCTGCTTTTCTGAGTGTCCCAGGTAAGGGATTTTAAAACAAATTACTTTCAGTAATAGAACTATAAATAAAATACTGAACATTTCCTTCAGACAAAGTGTAGTAGTAGATAATGTATCATAAAGAAAAAAATAATGGAATCAAATATCCATACAGGTCAGACTTTTATTGTTTAGTTTTTGAATAAACAAATATCTTGATTTTACTGGCAGAGTATTTTGATAGTGGAAAGGAAGAAAGGTATGATGAGATGGACTCACACACTGCACCATCTAGGGGAGAGCCCTTAATGGCTTATTTTCCAGGGTTGCACATTCCCACATTCCCAAGTGTAAGGCATCTCATTTGACAGATTGGAGTATGACCAGAGGCCTGAACCAGCAGCCTGTCATGTTCAGCCATGTCGAATGCTTTTATAGCAGTGCTACAGCAGAAGAGTGGAGGTTGGGCAGCTCGTTGGTCTCGGGACACTCCTAGACTTTGCCATGTTGCAGACAGACCAAAACTGATCCTTAGCCATATCTTAATAAGAGGAGGGAGAAATCAAACTTAATTTTTTTCAAACAAAAAGCTTGAATAAGTGAATAAGATAACGATGGGCCATTGGAGTCAGCCTCTTTGTCATAACAAGCAAGAATCCTGTGATGTTTTCTGCCAATACTTGTGACTCCCACACTCTTTTCTGCCCGTAGCTGCAGCTGATCGAGCCATGGACAGGACTATTTGGAGGCTGCCTGCAACTGGCTTCAGATTTGAACTTTGGTTTTGGACTCTTGTTTTCACTGTTCATCAACATTAATTCCAGTGATGTTTTGGCTCGATGCCTTGTTTTCTGAAGAATGAGTCTGGTGTCAAAAGCTGGCGTATTCTTAATCCAGTACATAGTTTCTCAGCAGTGGAAAACAATTAGTACCAAGGGAGAGGAAGGCCACGTACAGTGCTTCACTGCTGAAATAAGTGCATTGCGGCAAATTTGCTTTCCAACAGTGTGCATATGTTCTCTTCAATCTCCAGTTTTAATACAGTTTTTAAAAGCAAATCTTTAAGACATTTAGCTGTCACATTTGTAACAATCACCTATATTTAAGTATCACAGTCCGAAAATTAGAGTGAGGTTACTTGACTATGACATGAAGATCACACTGAGTTCTGATAGATGCAATGGCAACGTTAGAGGTGCCAACTGAAAACTAGCGCTTTGAATGAAGGATGAGAGGGTAAGTATCTTTATTAAGGCAGTGAGTCGGCAAAAAGTGGAGGAAGGTCAGAAGTCCTCTGACTGTTCTTTCTGGTTTTCTCCCCCTTTGGAAAAAAATCACTTAACATAGCAAGATGAAGAATTGCTTCTGTGCTACTGCTGCCCCTTTGCTTTTGAAATGACCGAACCAGAATAGTCAAGAAAAGGGAGCAATGTATTTTGCAGGAGTTTCTTCTGCACAGCTACAAGGGAAAATGGTTGTCTTGGTTTATTTCTTAGCAATTAAACATGTACGCAAAAGTAACTCCGTTGATATTTGGTCCTATCAGTTATATTTTAACACAATAGTCTTGACTGTTACCCCAGACAAGGTCAGCTATTCCTCTACTCTAATGGTAGTCCTTCAAAAACATTTTAGGACATTTTGTGATTTATATTTAAGCCAGTAATCCTGTACCTTTCCTGGGAGTAGAAATCTGGGGGCGTTTGTGTGTGTAAAGATGGAAATGAAGAATATTTGTAAGGGAAAAAGCTGCAGAAAAAGCTGCAGATATTATAAACGGTTATTTCCAGAAGAGAAGTGATCAGTAGTAGTAGATACTGTACGTGCTGTGGATTTTAAGAGGTGAGTTTACACTAGAGTTTGCAGCCTGCAAAAGCATGTTCTCAGTATTGAAAGACCCTTTGCCCTTTAATTTCCGCTGCTTCTGATAATTTTATGTGCTCTGTCAGAGAGCAAAGATTATCTAAATTTTAGGGTAAATGGGAGCGAACAGGGCAAATTCAGGTGAAAAGTAAGTACACAAAGTACTTGAATAATGTAAAGACAACAGACTTTTTCTGCTAGAATTGCACAGGAGGATTTTTGCTGCAGGCCCTGTGCTGCTGTCTGTAGTGTCCTTTGCCTCATCTGTAGGTGTCTGGTGCAGAGAGGATGCAGCAATTCAGTTCTCCAAACTCTGCTCCCTGCTAATGTCTAGAGCTCTGACCTTTGTAGGTACCATCCATCCTTTTTTTTTTCATGCAAGATTTAAGTTTGGTGTCCCTCTCTGCTGCTGTCTGTCATATTACCACAATCTCTCGCTGTCTGGTCTTCTGGTGTCTTTCCAACATCCTAACACTTTCTGCAACGTTGCAGATGAATACTTTCATTCTTAGGTCTTCTAGCAGGTGGCAAAACAGACTCTAGTCCTTTCTGTTCTCATTTGAGCAGCACTGCAGGCTTCATGTCTATCCATTACAGTGTTTTTTTCTCTTTTTCACATGGAGAAAACTGCATTGAAAAAGAGAGTGTGCATGCATCGTTTCTCTTTTTTTTCATGATAATTTTAGATTCTCTTCATCACTTTCATAGTGTATCAAGTCTGGCTGAGCTGATTTTCCCATTGCAGCCCTCATGGTGCAGAGCTTTTGTGTTGGGAGTTAGAAGGGTGTTGTGACTACTTCTGAGCAGTGCTCGCACAGCACCAAGGCTCTTCCTAAAATTCACACCACCACCACCACCACCTCCCGCCCAGTGGGATGGGGTGGGCAGGAGCTTTGAATGGACTATAATCAGGTCAGCTGGCCTGAATTGACCAAAGGGATATTCCATACCATACAGTGTCTGCTCCACTATAAAGCTTGTACAAAGGTGTTGAGGGGGAGGGGGTAGGGAAGTGTGTGCAGGGGGCTACTCTTTTGTCCTCTGGAGCAACTGCTATGCATTTTGGAACCCTGCTTCCCAGGAGGGGGCCAGACATTGCCCGGTGATGGGAAGTAGACAATAAGTCTTTGGTTTTATTCTTTGACACGCGGAATTGCTCGCCTTTGTTTTGTTTCTCTTTAAACTGCCTTTGTTTTACTCAAAAGGATTTTGTTTCCATCTTATTTTCCTTCCCCATTTTGCTCAGTGGAGGAGGGCAAGAAAAGGAGACAGGTGACAGAGTGGCTTGGTGGGCACCTGGTGCTCAGCCAGGGTTAACCCACCACACATACCTAACCAAGGATAAGGGTTTTTTGAGTGGTAACAATAAATAGCAAACTTGCTTTTTGTATTACTGTTTTGTATTAACAAGTTGCAAGGATAAGTTGCATTTGACACGTGTCTTGTTTGCAATATAATAATCATTTTGAGGAGATGTTTAAACTGGCTCTAAGATGAGGTAACCTATGCAACAGTGAGCTCCCCAAAGGGACACCACCCCTGGTGCCCAGCAGGTAACAGTGTCTCCAGCAGGATGCAGTGGACCTAGCATGTATGCCCCAGCAGCTAAACAAAGCTCCTCAAGTGTCAAAGTCTCCTACCCAGCTGTCTGTATCTGCTGCTGCCATTCCTCAAGCACACGTTTATGATCATGGTGGGCTGGGAAGGACCAGCCAGAGGGCTTTTGTCATCATCATTCACCACTTCTCGTTTAGTCCTATCACAAAATCCTCTTTCGGCCCCTTCATGCCAACCTCAGCGCACTCCCTCATCACCCACAATCCCTGGGAAAGAGCCAGAAGCAAATTTGTTAAATATTGATAGATCCTGACATGTTAGGAGAGTAAACCCACATGGGCAGTTATTTATGTGCCTACAGAGAGCTCAGGCATTGTTTTTCTCCAGCTGAAGGTGCTTAGAGGCTGAAATGGGTCCACTTTTAAAAACCTGCAATCTACACCACACTTGACAAGCTATGTCAAGAGTGTCTTGAATCCATGAGAACCATTTTTCTCTTTCAGTCTGGCAATAATAGTAATTTTGGTACTTTCAGCCCTTGGAAAGAGAGATCTCATAGTGAGATACATTAGTGCTGCCACCCTTTCAGCTGAAAAGGGTGCTTTCAATGTGCTGTTTCCCTGAACTTTGAGCTAAAAATTGCCAAGGGCAATATTCTATTTTCAAGAAGAACTGCAATTTTCTAAAGGCTTTGGATTCTTCTTTTTTGAAGAAAATTGTTTACAAGCCAGAATGTAGCAATGCCTTCAGGAAACATCTATCTCTGTATTAGGAAGAATACTAAAAAGTTTAAGATGCATAAAAATTAGTTATTCTTATTGATTGCATATCTTTAGAGATTAGATGAAAACCTGCCATTTATTTTTAAAGGATTTTCTCATATTTTAGCTCTGGTTTTGCATTAAATTCTGAGTGAAATGTTTTTTTAATTTGTCACAAGAGAAATTGAAATATGTTTGATTTAAGAAAAAAATAAGTTATCTTTTAAAAGTTTTAGTTCAGACATCTATTTTATGTTATCCTTCATTATTTTATTATCAATATATATATTCATAAGACTAACATACATTATAATATTTCAGTGAAGATGCTTCAGTTTAGAAGGTAGTTTTGTTCAGTATTAAGTAGATTTTTCCCTAATTGTTTGAAATATGAAAAAAAATTGAAACATCTGAAAACTAAGATATCTAAAGAATATTTAGTGTCCTATTACATGTTTTTTCAGTGTAAAAAAAAAATTATTTGTTTTTAATATGTAAATATAGATAGACTGATATTTAGAAATTGGTTCCTAAGCTATTGCATTTCTTGAACAAATCATGCTTTTTAAAAAATACATTGTGAGTTATTTCAATTTCTTTAAAAAAAAAATCAGTATGTTATCAAATAAATTGTGATTTAAAATTTCCAGCTGGCTTTATATCCATGTAGCTCCATGGTATCATAGCAATTTATCTGGGCTGCAGCTCACTCCTGCAGCCCTCTCTTCTCCAGACTCCTAAAAATGGGATAAGGATTAGGTTGAAGCCTGAAGTAATAGTTCCATTAATAAGCTCCCACTCTCATTGGCAAGATGATAAACACATGGCACAGGAACTCTTTAAAAGATTATGGGAACAGCAAAGATTGGGTACCACTGGTATGTGGAATACCAAATATATGTATTTGGAAACACGACTGTGTGAAAAATGGCAATGTAACATAACATAGAAATGAGTAGCATTTAGAATTGATGGAGAAGCTTGGCACAAATCAGGATTAAAGATAGTTCTGAATATGTTCTCTAAACTCAACAGCCTGACCATCATGGGGAAAAAGGCTAGAAGGAATTAAAGATCAGGAAAAAAACTCCAATTTTCAAACCTGAATAAAAATGTTCTGGAAAGTTATTAAGGAAAAAGAGATGACTAAACTGGCTGAATCTTTTGAAAAAAAAAAAAAAACAAAACAGTTTTGTGTCCAGAATCATGTATGTCTGATACATTTAATTGATATTACACATATCCTCTCACAAGAAATTTTACTTTGCCTCTGTCTTCATATGGCTCTGTATTTGCTTGAGAGTTACAAACTATAGGTTTTTTAGCCTTTATGTTTCCTGCAAAGTTTGATTAAAATCAGCCAGCAGTTTTACCCAGGCAGCGGTGAGGACCAAAGGCCTGAAGGCCAGATGCACAAAGAGCATGAGCATTGAAGCCTTCCTTCCTTCCTTCCTAAATGATGCTAAAAATCAGGTCATGCAGAAGCAGGAGAAAGTTCCTTCTTACTTTCTGCTAAAGCAGTAATCTGGGTCTTTACTCAACAAAATCTGGGAAATAAGCAACAAGTGTGAGAGGCAAACAAAACCAGGAGATGAAACAGCTCTGTGTTCTGCTTAACTTGTCCTTTGTCAGGCAGGTTGTCGTGATGCTGCCTACCAGCAAGTAAGCCTATTAGGCTTCAGATAATAGGCTTACCCTGTTATCTGAAAATATTTGTGTGGATCAAGCTCTGAGAGAGTTTCATGGGTGAAGATTTTTATTAAGAATCCCTTTAGGCAGTAAACTAACAGCTTTTCCCACAGTTGCAACTTGTTGCTAAACTCAACAAATCAGTACCTTGTCTTGAGACCTGCAGGGAAAATTACTCTGAAGGAGAGCATGTGGGAGGAAACCCATTGCTTCCAGTTGCTTTCCAGGTAAAATTCATCCTACACTTTCAGAAGGGCTGTGTTTCTGTCTGTGCTCACTTGTGGTGGGAGGTGTCCCACTTCCAGAGTGCTCTCCCAGCTCCTTGGATGGCAGGAGTGCAGGGCCACAAGCTCTGGGACCACATTATGTCAATGGGTAAGAAGGTTATCAGGGATTGCAATAACGAGGTGACAAGGATTGGAGGTGCCCTGCAGTAAGTTGTTACTATCAGGTTACAGTTGTAAAGGGGGAGTGGGGGAGTTAGTAAAAAAAAAAAAAGGCATGACATTACAAATAAGGTAAAACAATTTTGGTTTAGTCTCTGCCTGCTGCATCTTCTCATCAGCAGTAAAAGGACAATGTAGGGTAGCAAAAGTTTCTCACAAGCTGAAACCAGCTCCAAACTTTTCTTTACCCCAATGGCAAAGCTGCATAAAACTGCTGGGTTTAAGTGTTGCTATTTCATGGAGAGCTATAGGATGAGTATCGTGACCAGAATGAAAAGAGGTATACTTCTCATCATTCTGGTAATGTGTGGTATGTGGTGTTTTCCTTCAGATTGAGTTTAATCCGTTGCAAGCAGTAAAAATAAATTCCTGCCTCCGCACAAAAGCAAAAATAGGAGGGGTAGTTCTAGCAACAAATAATCTTAAAAGTGGGAGACTACAGGCAGCAGAGGAGGTTACCAGCAAAATTGACTTTGACATCAGGTAAACAATTACAAGGAGGAGTTCTCCTCTGAGCAATTATTAGGAGGACCTGTTTGGTGTCTTCATATGCTGTAAAGACAAGATGGAATAAAGAGCTTTGATTTTCTTGTACCTCCTGCCCAGCTGAAGCTGTGACTGGCAGTTTGCAAACATGAATGGCAAATTCTGCTTATCTCAGGATATTTAAGGTGCTGATTTCAATATGGTTTTCCTTCGAATACAAATGTGGGTCACATGAGATGTTTCTTTATGCCTCTGGGATCTCATTTCTCTCGTCACTTTTGGGAATGTGAATTGACCATATACAAAGTGAAGAGTGACGTTTTTCCTCCTTTAAATGATGAGGTAACAAGGAATAAAGTTTTATATTGCTTTTATATCTTCTGAAGAACTGTATAGGCACTATAATTTGTTTATTTATTTGCATTCAACTGATGTTAATTAACTTGTCTGAATATGTATTTGAAAAATCTAAACATTCTTGGATCCAAACAGTGTGTTAAAATATAACAAATAGCAGCAGGAAGATAATTCCATCAAAAGCTTTTCTCCCTTGGTTTTTTATGATATTGTCAACAGTTCTTGATAGAATTACTCCTTAGATCTTGCTTCAGCCCATATATTACTATTTTCCATGGGCTGTTTGAAATGTAATCAAAACTGAATGCTGTTTATCTGCCTCATATAAAAAAAAAAAAAAAAAAAAAACCAACCAACCAACCAACCAAACCTAACCAACCAAACTCAACTAACTGCATGTTCCAGGGACAAAATCTCTTTTGTAGTTGGATATTTATTATTTTATTCAAGTAACACTTGCCTAAATTCCATTTTACAAATTTCCTCTTTTGGTTGTTGATACATTCTGTTACAAATTTAGAACTAGTTAGTGACTTTCTGCTGTCGCTATCGTGTCAGATTAGACCTTGTATTCAGAAATAAGTGGAACCCAGAAGGGCTTCTGGCAAAGACTTATTCAGATCCTGAGGTGTAGGTATGCAGGGTTTGTAAGGTATGTATAATTATAACAAGAAATGTAAACCTTCCATCAATTCTTTTTTTTTTTTTTTTTTCCTGAAGGCTCTGAAACCAAATTATTTCTTAAAGTGCATATTAAATGCTTAGAAGAAATATGGAAATACATTGACCTTGCAAAAATGCATTTTGCTCTAATTGTGCTCTTGAGCTAGAGGTAATTTCTGCAGTAGGTTATAATTTTCTAATTGGATCTTCTTATAAAAAAAATTTCAAGCATGAAATAAAATCCTCCCAGAGTGATATTGCATGAAAGCAGATGCATAAGTGCATTACTATTCTTTTTAATTGTAAACAAATTTCCTTAGAATATGTTGAATGAATGCATTTTGAAATGTACACGGCATGATTTTCTAACCATGACCTCAAAATAATTCAGGCTTAATGCTTCAGTGGTTGCCTTTTCTGGGTATGACAGGTAATGAGTTATACTTGCTGAGGAAAAGGTGGTGAAGTATGAGTCCAACTGGCTATGTTTTCATTTAGCTATGAGGATAGAATAACTATAACAAAATTTATAGCCCCTGCAAGTTTCTGATTTGATTTAGGGCTTGGGTTTTTGATCTTGCAGTCTGTGGACTGAAACAAAGTATTGATTTTGTGAACTATGTGCCATCTTGAATCTGTGAAGGCTCAGTGTAGCTGTTTTATGAATAATGAACAGTTGAGCTCACAGTAAAAGATTTAAAACTGATTAAGTCATGATGAATTGAACTTTGAAGGAGAAAGTTTGCCAGCTGATATGTTGGCACACTAGTGAAGAGTTGCTTTGAGTAAAACAGTCTTATTATTTTCTTATCTTTTCTTCTTAATGAACTAAGAGATCATTTCTGTTCTCAGAAGTCAGTTAGGGCAGTAGCTATAAAGTCTTTATTTTAGATTAAATCCTGCCTTACTGTCCTGAAATGTGTTCTGGAATATGGATGTCAGAGACGATGGTTTATGGCAGCAGTCTGGCCTGCATGTTAATGCTCACTTTACTGATATGCTGTAGGGAAGCAACATCGACCTCCCTGGAGTGTGTTGTGGAGGCTGATTTATGTATTGCATTCTCTTCTGTGGATTTCACGTGTGTGGGACTATCATAAGCACAGACTGATGGGCGATGAGTTCTGCCTTCCTCTTGAAGGGCTCCACTAGTATAAGGAAAGGTGTACTAAGTTCTGGCTTTCTACTGTGGGCATCTAGTTTAAGTCCTTTACCTCACTCATATCTTTCCACTCTTTTCTGCCTACCCTTTGGATGTACTTGCCTTTTTCTGCTGACTATTTAGGAGATTAAATGCACACCTTTAATCTCCTGACTCACATTTAATGTAGGTGCCTTGCACATCACTGACACAAATTGTTTTATACTCCAGGTAGCTGCTCACTTCATAGGTGGCTGAATTTGGGAGTTTTGGGGTTTTAGGGCACTCTTGCTAATTTAAATAACTATTTAGTATAACTGAGGGACCCCCATTCCTAGCCACTGTAGTGGTGTACCAGCATCTTATTTGGTAAACGTGGAAGCAGGCTGTACTAATCAAAGCAATTGCTTGTGTTGCTCATACCTCTACTGTTTCCATGAACAACTGTGTGAAGACAACCAGGGCCTCTAAGAAAAGACCATGGAGACCTGCATCATCTGAGGATACATAACATAAAATACCCAGCTATGAGCAGCCATAGGAAGGGCTAACATCTCACTGCTCCGCTTTGATTTGCTCCTAGAATGGATTTGTAGATCCTCAGACGCATACTCAGGAGTTAAGTTTCTGTTTAGCCCTGAATGTTACATTTTGTCATGATGTCAGTCATCTTACTTGTCTTCTGAGACCATTCCACCCAGCAACAGAAATACATGTGGGCACTGCTCTGGATGTTCTCACTATGGTAGTGAATGATTTAGAAGTGTTTGAAAGTGTTTTCACGTTTTGAAAGCTCAGAGTTGCTATAAAAAACAAGTAAAGGTTGTTTTCCTAAATGTGTTAAGTTCAGATTCCCCTAACCCCAAATCCATACACAGGTCCCCAGGGATATGTGAGTTCCACACATTAGGAAGAACATGAGTAAGGATTTCTCATTCCTAATCAAGACATGCAAGGATCATAGGTCTACTACTGTGGTCTAAAGTTCTTCATGTGCAGTACAAAGCATGTGACAAATAAAAAGCTATTTTTCATTCAGAGTTATAAACCTTCCAAGATAGAAGTTATTCTGATGAGATGAATGCGTTATGAGGAAAGGTTTGGGGTTTGGTTTCTACAGCTGTATTCTGCAAGCTGTAGTTACTGCTTGTGCTTGCAAAAATGAGTAATGATCCAAAGGAAAAAGGGCCAGCAACTTGTCAAAATATGCCAAGGGCTGGATTCATTGAAGGAACCACACTTTCCCAGCAGACTTGATAGCACATTGATTTGAGTCTTGCTGCCTTCATGTACCTCATGACCCGCTTGTGAAAAGTTTTTTCATTTGCACACATAGGCCACTTCGTCTGGTGGTGTTTTCAAAAATTAATGAACTACGCCAATGTAGAAACAAATTCCAGGCACTGACCCAGCTTATCAGCATGGTGGACTTCATTGAGCTGGCAAGTGTAAGAGCTTTTAGGAAAATACTGAAAATAAAAACAAAAAGTGTGGAAGGAGCAGTCGTTGTGGTTGTGTGCTCTGACATATTTTGTCTGCAGTTAGAGACTGCTTTTAATTTCTGAAACAAGTACTATGTACAGATTGTTACCACCTCTTCCTCTTATCCTGTACCTTTCAGGATTCGTTGCTTTCCCAAAGTATTGCATTTTTCATTTTTCAGCCATTACGCAAAACATTTTGAAAAAAATTATTGCATATTTCTGCAAGTCTACATTGTGTAAGGTACAATCAAGTATTTTATGGCTAGCTTAATCGCATCTTTGCCCTAGAGATCTGTTGCTTGCCTGCTTACTTTGTGAAATAGTGTCTTACCCCGTGTAAAATATTCCTCATTTTGTTCATATACTTCAGCATTTGAACTCAGAATTGGATTATTTTCAAGTGAAGAAAACTTGTGCAAAGCAAACACAAAAGTGTCATGAGCACAGCTGAGGGCAATTTATCTTTCCATTTGAGGGAATACTGTGGGAATATGTTTATAATCTTTGTTCAGCTTTACATACTGATGTTAAGCTCTGGTTATCTGACTTTAGACACCTTGCTATTTCTAGAAGAACTATGTGGTAGAAAGGTCAATGAGAGGATTATTATGGAGAGATCGTTTCAGTACTAACACACACTAATGGAATTGAGACAAAGAGTGATAGTGGAGACTAACCAACTTTGTAGATAGCAAGTTGTGGATTCTTCAGTTCAGTATTTGACATGATCAAGGGTTTGGAACTTTGCTTGAAGCAGTTGGAGAAATTGTGGAGCATTGTGATGTGCACAATACTCATAGCCAGCTTTGGCAACTGCAGACAGTTTAGAAGTCTTCTTTAGCAGAAGTGTTACTTCTTGTTTCAATGTGGACAAGAACTGTTCAGCGTTGAAAGATGCAGGCTAGAATTGGAGAGTGAGTTTTAGCTAGTGGAAATAATCTTACAGACACACCTGATGCACCAAAGAAAAATGGAGAACTCCTTAAGCAGAAGGAATATTGGTAACGTTACTGCTAAGAGCCTGGGAAAACTCAAAGAGCATGAGGTATGTTTCTGGATGAAGGCTGTAACACAGTGACTGTAATCCAATCAGGGGACTGGAGGGAAGCCACCCCTCAGTGCCTAGCACATGGTTGGGCACATTTTTTCTAGCTCCCAAGGTGAAAGGGTGTTCCTACTGCAATACAACTTTCCTGCTCAGATTCAGCCCTAAGTATGACTGAAGTGATGGATTAACTACCAGAATCATAATGTTGATAAAGCTCAGTGTTTCTTATGCTGTGTAAGAAGGACTTAATGAGGTTGCAAAAGCACTCAGAAGTAACGAAACGATTATCTGTGTAATCATAATTCAGATTTCTTGTGCACGTACATTTTCAGACAATCATGGTTTGGTCAACAGTTCCCCCAACCTCTAGAGACCATATTTTGTACAATATGTAGATTGAGGGTGTTCAGTTTTAAAGCAGTTATTCAACATTTTGTATATTCCGTGGTATTTATCATATACAGTCTCTTATTTTATTCCTTGTATGCTATTTGAACATTTTTTTCTAAAGAGAAAGAGGCTTTTTAATTTAGTGTCTGAGTTATCAGAGACTGTTTTCAAACTCATTTGTGCTTGTATTGTGTGCACTTTATAGCTGGAAATCTGAGGTACAGCAATAGTAAGACCAAAATTAGCTGCTTATTTTTGACATGCAATTTAAGTTGCTGGTAACCTAAATTTTAAGACACCCCAGCAGCAAACTATAGGTTCAAAGCATACATTTGCATGTATTACATCTTTGTAAGTCAGATACTGAGCACTAAAGAAAAATAGAAGCTCTTTATTGGTGTCCAGCTTGTTAAAAATGTTGATTAAAGCAGCCACTTAATATCTTGCAAGTTGCAGGGAGTCTGTTACGCTAGGGGCTTCAATCATGCTTCATATAGTCCCTTTTGTTACAGAGTCTTTCAGCTTCTTTGAAAATTGACAGAAAGCAGCTTGCATTTATGCAAAATTCAAATTTACCCCTACAGCAGACCTCTTATAATCACTAAATTAATGAAGCGTTTCTATAGGAAACATAGTATGTGGTTGTGTTATCAAAAACTGTGTTATGTACATTCACAGTGAGAGTTGTGACTGCTGGGCTGTTTGCTTGCTCTCCGTTTGCAGAACTAGGCAGTACACAGCAGTTTCAGCTGAGCTGTTGGGTAGCGAGCAACCTCTGGCCAGCTAGATGAAAAACATCTGTCAGGTATATGCAAACAGTGATTTTGAAGACATTTGTAAATTATCCTGATTTCTCTTAGAAACACCAAAAAGCACAACCTTACTGTAAAGATTATGGCTTGCTGAATTTCAAGGTTCTTCTCCAGTTCCTCTTGGGATCCAAGGATTTCTCATAGAAAAGGTTGCCAGAACTTGTCAAAGCAAGGCATTCTTCTCTTCTTCTCTTGGTCTCAATTTCCCATATAGGTGAACTGCATTTGTAGACATTTGCTTTGGACGAAATTGACTTGAGTGGATGCCCCCCAAAAAAAAAAAAAAATTAAGTCCTTCAGGTGCAATTTGACAAGAATATTATTTTGATGAGGATTAAGAGAAACAAGAACAAAAATTACAGTGATAATTTGCTGCAGATTCCCAAGAATGGATTTCAATCTCAAAGTGATGCACAACTAATTTTACCAGATTCATTTGTCATACATTTACTAGCCTAAAGGAGGAATTAATATGAATTGTCAAGAATCTTTTACAAATTATGAATAAGGCATCTTCATTATCCAACAATTTATTAACTCATCTGGCAGCAATTATACTATCTAGTTATGGGAAAAGAAGGCTGAAAATATGGAAACACTAAGTACTAAGAACTGCATGAAAAAGTTAAAACAACTCTGTACAATGCACTACAATGAGAACAGAACAACAGTCTTCATTGGCAAAAGGGTGGATGATATGGTCTCTTTTGCTGGGGTTTTCAATTTTCATTATGTATTTTCAAAAGGTTGGTACAAAACATTGTTTCAAGCAGGAATAAGTTTCTCTAATAGTCCTTAGAAAAAAGCTGTACAGGAGAGAAAGACATATTTGATATTCCTGGTTTTTACAGACTTACTGACTATTAGCAGAAATCTGGGGGTATGAAAGCCACTAAATTTAAGAAAAAAAAAAAATCCAGACAAATATAGTGATGACTGAAAGGTCAGTAATGCAGGTGTCAAAATAATCTTTCACGTATCTTACAAGATGACCATGAGTGTTCCCAGAACCTAATAATCCGCTGACGAGTGTGGTGTGATGCGTGTGAAACATCCCAAAGAAGCCATAATAGAAAGGGAATGTAATCATAGTCATTCTTGCCTGGAAACTTAAACTGCAGAGAACATTTTTATATTTTCAGAATCAGCTGAACTATTTTAGAATTTAGAAAATGTGAATCTTCTTACAGATAAAAATAAGCATGAAATGAAGCACCACAAATTAAAATAGCATAAAAAAATAAACAAGCATGGAGAAACAGAAAGAAATATTGTTCCTGGTACCAAGAGCCTTTAGTGTAGGCTCAGAAAACTGATAGTCAGGTATTAATTGGCATGACTGTCGCACATTAAAAGTTCATGTTTCATGTGAAAGTATCCAGTATATCTAATTTTCAATCTGGCTTATGATTTTTGTTTCCTTTTTTAAAGTATCATTTAATGAGGGCATATTATATTTTCTAAAACCTAACTACATTTAATATTATATATGTTTTCATCCATCTTTTTAAGATTCTTAATTTTAACACTGTTATACAAGTTATATTCCCATGTGGCACATAACATTTGAATAATGGCTTTTAGCATTAATGAAATTCAAAATCATATTAGACAGTGAAAATTGAACAAAATATAAATGACTATTTGATTCAGATATGGTTCTTAGATGAATGTGGGCAGCGTATAAGGTATGATATTATAATTGCTTAGATAGTAAATTTTGCTATTAGATCACTTGTGTGCTTATTACTTGGAAATTTGCAGAAGATGTATTTATTTGTAGTCATTGTACTTAATAGCGGAAAGTGCAGCACTATAATAAACTCTTGCCCTCTGAAATGTGTTTATCTTGTCACAGAGCTGGCTTACTAATGTGATTTTCTACCTTTTGCAAAATGAAGGTAATGCTTGCTGCAGTTGCTATGATACAAGACTAGTGCACTGAACTTTCTGGTGCATCAGCACACATTTTGTATCATGCAGTTCACTGTCACTGCCTTTATGACCTTCTAAAGCCATCTGTGAAGAGGCAGACAAGTGAATTTAATCTCCCAAAACACCACACGTAAAATAAAGATTCACAGATATTTTCCTTTTTTTCTCTGAATGACTAGTAGCAGTAGTACTGAGCTTTAACTCCACTGTGGGATTGAATTTGAGATATTTTGTAGAAAGTGGCTCCTAACATAGACTACAGCAACACAGGGATATTACGTACTCTCTCTTGTGTTTTAAACTTTAACAGCGTGCATAAAGATGTGACCTACCTTTGTCTTTCCAGAAGTTATGTCTAGAGCAGGCTTTATCAACCCTCTACTCTCTAAGAGAGGGAAGGACATAAAGTGGCACCTTTAGTGGACAGTTCATTCCACAAACTTGAGACATTTTAAGCCAGGATGAATTACCTCCTAGATAAGCCTATTTCTTTGTGCTGGTTAGTGAGGGCACCTAGATAGAAAGCTTAATCAAGATACCTAACTTTTATATAGGTAAAACTATAGCAGATGAATCCTATTGCAAGTAATAAGGTGAATATTTTTGAAACTCTGTGGCTTAGGAATAATCCAAAACAAGGTTAACAGGAGAAGATGCAGCAAAGCTGGGAGTATACTGCTGTGTATGACAGTAAGCTACAAGTCATGAAGTAATACCAGGAAGAAGCAATTGTGGAGAGAAAGGTCTGAAAATGTCTGAGAAACACAAATTAACCTCCCTTCCATGCAAAAACAAGGCTTTTGTGAGAGTAGGTAAATGACATTTCTATGAGAGTAGTTTTTCTCTCATTTGCATCCTCTGCCTCAATCTCCCAAAGCAGAAAAGTTGACAGCCTGTGTTTCTTGAAAGATGTATAACTTGTTCTCTGTCAACTCCGGTGTCTGTATTGTCAGGGAATCCTATTTTGATGACATTGCACCCACTAATAAAGGCTGAAGACAAGAAAATAAAACTTTTGGAAATACTGCCTTAACTGCTGATAGTTGATTAGGCTGCAGAAGAGATACTCCTTTTATTTTTTCTGTAGCCTGAGAATCCATCAGGTGTTCTCCAAGCTATTAATAATGCTTTGGCTAGCAATATGAGGTAGGTTGAATGGATTGCCCTGCCACTATACTGAATGTGATTGCAATGAAGCATGAAACAACCTGTTTTAATGACTTACACTAGTGCTTGCTTAGACCTGATGTTAAATTTTTGAAGACACCTGGATCTTTCATTAACTGATCAGGCAACCAACTGATAGTGGGTGAAGCATTAATTAAGAAGTCTGAAAACTCATATTCACTGTACATTAGGAAATATTACTGAAATTTTTCTGGTGAACCTCTTGAAGAATAAGTAATTACATCTATTGTTTTTGAGAAAGATGCTTTCTGCCTATTGACACAATGTGTAAAGTAGATGTACTCCTTTCTCTGCAGCTGGGATGACAGCAGCTCGGTTAGTAGTGGCCTCAGTGACACTCTTGACAACCTCAGCACAGATGATTTGAATACCACCTCATCTGTCAGCTCTTATTCCAATATAACTGCTTCTTCAAGGAAGAACGCTAATGCCCAGGTGAGTAGCTTTTCATTGCCATTTCCTGCAACACCTCATGAGTGTGCAGGATAACAAAGAAAAATGTTTAGTATCAATGCCTCTGAAACAAATGAAATGCTTTAAAACTCCTCTATCACACCTGTGTGCAAGAAGCCCATGGACCCCACTGATCCAACCCTGGCCCATGGGCTGACGCCTCAGATACTCTGCTCTCAGGGCACATCCCACTGCTGAAGGTTCTGGATGGTGAGACCCTGCTCTGCGTGCCCTGGGGGAGCCCTTGCCAGTCCCAGCCTCAAGAAGCCACCAGCCCCTTCTGCACCCTAACACGCAGTATGACGGGATCTCCAATAGGTGGATTTCTACTCACTTTGTCCCATTTGGAGTATCTCTTTCAAGAGACAGCACTATTTAAAATGAGATAGTTTTCATCATTCATAAGATGACACATATAGGGGAAAAAATACCTAGGCTGTGTTGTCCTTTCCTTGTTCTCTCCACTGGGAGAAAAGAGACTGAAGGAAGAAGGAAAAGGTTTCAAAGTTTCTCTTGTCCCCAGTTAGGTCCAAGAATTAAAGTGTCTCCAGGGCCCTCAAGCTGACAATGCATAGTGTCAAAATGGAGTTCTGAACAGTGTACAACTACAAATGATATGCTCCCTCTATAAATATAGCTCTTGTATCAGGTATCCCATCTCCCCTCAGAATTGAAAATGATGAAAAAAATAATGCAGAATGCTTGTAGGACTCAGTTACCCACCCACCTCCCAAAAAAGAGGGTAAAAAAAAAAAGAATAATTAGTCCAAATATAAAAGTATTCTCTGCCATGTCATCTCCTGTTTGCAAGCAGGGAATTTCAAGACTGAACACTCAGCATAAAGGAACAGTTTTTCAGTGATTTGATGTCAGGTATTCAGGACACAAAACTGACACTCCCAATCACCTTTAGACTCCTGCAGGCAGCCAGTGCCTGCAATTCAGAGATCTGTTTTGTGTACATTGTGGCAGACTGTCAACTGGAGAAGACCACATATTTGTCATTTCCCACAGACAACGGGGAAATAAAGTTACATTGGGAATAAAGATTACTTTAATCTGCAGCAGGACAGATTTCAGACTGATGTTGTACTCATGCAAGGATACTCACATGGATGCCAGCATCCTTCAGCCCTTAGCTTTGCCTTTCCCACCCCATGAGGGTCTCTCATAGTTTCTGGCTGGAGATCAGCCTCTTCCCTTTCACATCAATAGTGATGGCCAGGTAGTTCTGGCTTACTTGTTCCACCGCATCATCATTTTCATGATTAGAAAGTCTCAGCCTGACTGTTTAACTCTTTTTGGGTTTTTCATTCAAATGATGTCTTGTTCTAGCTGCTTGACCAGATACAATTTGCACTTTTCTCAGTGATAGATGCAGCACATGTTCTAATGTTGCTTTCCTGGCAGAATTGCCGTGTGTTCTGAAGGCTAGGAACAGACCTTTGTTAGGTCTGCCTTTGCCAGGCAGATTAATCAGAACACATTGTACTCCATGCTAGTCTGCAATCTCAGTCATAATATGAGATGAACAGAACGTTTAAGTATTTTGCCAGCTGTTCTCCAGGTATAAGACATACTCATGCCACACAGAGATCCTCTTTGCAGTCTTTTTAAGTGATTGCAGTAGTGCAAGCTGCCTATAGCCTAAGGCAGAAATTGCATACTTTGTTGTTGTTTTCTTTTTAAGATGTTTAGCCTTACTTTTCGGATCCCATAATGGTGAACAGAGGCTTTTAGAAACTATTATACTTGTCATTTCTCAGAGATGATGCAGTTTGCTTTAAAAATGTATAGCTCTGTGTTCATAACCATTTATGGGAAAAGTTCTGGGAGCATTACACATGTTGTAACAACAACATCAATGAAAACTCTCTTCTGAAGGACCCTGCAATATTTGTGTAGATGTTTGCTTGGGCTCTTTTCCCATCAATCTGTATCAAAAATCTGTGCAAACACCTCCAAAGCATATATAATATTACAGAAGTGCAGAAGGCTTTTGCTTTTTGTATGCCTCAGATGACAAATGTGTAAACAGCAACTGATTATTCTGTTGGTCATTTAATCAGTATTAATCCTAATTATGACAGCAGTGCCTAGGAAACAGCCACAGAGGGCTCTCTGTAGAGAAGGAGTTGTGGCAACACAGAATAATAAATAGTACATCCCCCCCCCCCAATTGCATTCCTGTTCATAGAACTACTTAGGTCAGCTGTATGAGGATAAGGCTGTGGTAATACCTAAGAAGAGCACTACTGTTTTGCTGTTAAAGAGAGGCAGAGATAAGCAGGACTGGTGAGATGACATGCAAATAAGGCTTGAGGCTGATGTCAAGAGGCTGCAGGAAAACACAAGAGGAAGGGTTACAACAGACAGCCTGTCAGCACAAAGAACACCAGTCTTCTCAAACACAGAGGGTAGGGTCAGTCTGCAGAGTTTCTGTGTAAGCCACTTTCACAGCTTCTACATTGTCTGTCTTGTTGGGCTGCTCCTTGCAGCACAGCCTTATCAGCATGACCCAAGGAAAGAAGATGCCACAGGGGTGTTAGGTCCTCTCTGGAGCATCTTCCACATGGGTTTAAGTTTCAGAGCAAGGATGACCCCAGCTAGTTACCTTCACCTCGCTGGTGGGTAGTGCTTGCATAAGCGTCTCTTCTAGCTTGCCTGCTAGCTGATACAGCTAGAGTGAATTTCTTCTTGGAAACAAATAATTTCACTGGAGACAAACCAGTAGAGAAGTCATCAGCTGCAGAACTGGTAATTTTGTTGTTATCCTTGCTCAGTTGTGGCACAACATACTCAGTGCTGCTGGAACAGTATTCCTCATTCAGTCAGTGGAAGGCTTCGTAGGAAAAGGCAAGAAACCAGACTGAGGTGATTTTAGTAGTATATTTAGGAATTCCCTCATTCCAGCTTTTAGTAGAAACCTCTCGCTGCAGTGAATCATTTGTGAAATTCAGAGGCAGTTGAGGAACAAAAAAGTATCACTGCTGATGGTTAGAGTAAATTATGTTTCACTTCATTATAGTCTATCTGTGAAGGAAAGAGTAGAAATCTTATGAAAATGAAATACACAAAATGTCTTCCCCCAAATGGGTACGTTTTCAAATTTTTGGGATCGGGATACTAATGTTATAGAAATGAAGTTTCCATGGCCCTTGCTACAAATAAATCAATATGCTTATTCTCCTCCCCTCCTGTGATTTAAGAAACCAGCAAATACTGAAAATGCTGAGACTGACCATTTCTCATGCAAATCTCCTGTAGCTGAAGACAGACTCAGAGAAGCACTCAGTTACAGACAGCGAAACTTGGGGCAGCACTGAAGAGCTGAAGAAACCAGAGGAAGACTTTGACAGCAGCGTAGACAGCAGTGGCAAGTGGAAAGGCCTTCCCTCGGGGCTGTCTGAAGAGTCAGAGAAGGGGGGGCAGAAAGCATCTCTCTCTGTGTCACAGACCGGATCCTGGAGGAGAGGCATGACTGCACAAGTAGGCACAACTCAGTCCAGGCACAAAGCAGGAACAAGTGCTCTCAAGACTCCAGGTAGGAAACTTCAGTAGTTCAGATTACAACACTGAAAATTAAGGCTTTATACCTAGAATTCTTCTATAAGCAGTAAGGAATCTCTCATGAGCTAAAAATAATTGAGTGCTATAAATGTGTGACAGATATGAGGAACTCTAAGCACATGGGTAGTGTGTCATAAATGACTGCAAGCCAAGATTGTTCTAATATACTCGTTTGTTCATCTCTATAACTTTTAGTGTGCTACACTGCATACTAATAATTTATTAATTACACTTGGTTGTATCTATAACAAAAACTGTGACTGCATTTTGTTTTCCTATAATTTGAGTGTGTCAGCTGTTCTCTCTAAAAAATCTATGCCTTTGATAACTAAGCACATGCATAGAAATGGCCAATGAGATAAAAAGATCGAACATTCAAGTGAGGGAACTCAAGATTAATGTTTCTGAACTAAAGATGAATTGTCACATTCCAGATACCGTGGGTATTCTACAGACCGCTGATAAGAGATTAAAAAAATGATTAAAAAATCTTTTTACACACTTTCTTTAGTGCTAAATGACTTCTTACCTAATTTTGAAAGGCCTCTCACAAGTATTAACCCCTTCTGCAATCTAGTTTTGAAGCAAGAAATCCAAAGTTGGTGCAAACCGTCATTAAGTCCATCTAATCCATCATTTTACTAGACAAATATCAAGTCTAGCGTTTTCTAGACCTGTATCATGCCCTGACAAAATACTGTATGAGTATTTTTTACTCCTAGTTGCGAAGGCAACTAACAAAGATATTTTCCGAATAAATTCAAATCCTTTGTGAGCCTTTTTTGTTTCTTTGTAATTTGGAACTGTTGAACATTGATCAGCCTTCGATCTATAAGATCTCCGAGGAGCATTGCCATGGTCAGCTGTCATATGGATGCAGAAAAGACACTTCTGTAATAGCCTTGAAAAAAGGAGATACCACAAGGTTTACCACATGCCAAGCGAACTTTCCCAGATCTGTTTTTGTGAAGGTGAACAGGGAGCCGCAGTGCAACACAGCATCACAGAATCACTATGGTTGGAAAGGACCTGAGGCCCTTGTTTTTTAAGTGTATACTAATAGTCTGTGTGTTCATCGTGTAGGAGTCTGATCCATATCTTCATGTGCACGTGTGTTTGTCTAGCATAAAATGTGCACTGGATAAAAACATGAGTGGATTTAGTTCTGACTTCTTCAGCCGGGTGTTGCTTTTTATTACAGCTTAGTTCCTTAAGGGAAATAGGGTCACCCACCTCCAAAACTTCTATAATCACTTGAAGAGTGAATTATAAACTTTGCTATGCTGATCATTTGTTCCTTATTAGGAACATATGGTAGATGGTTAAAGAGAAATGGTTTTTTGTTTGTTTGTTTGTAAAACAGGAAAAGGGTATTTTCTTTTAAGATAGAAGATAATTTCTTATTTAAACCTTTCTGAATGTCACAATAACATTATGTAGGAATATATGGTATATAGCTAGGTGTCTGTGTAGTGATGAAGGCAGCCTTTCAGAAAATCAAGAATCCTGAGAAGGTATCAAGGATATGGCAAAGACTATTAACTCACATAATTGATACCGTTATAGATCGAGAAGATTCATACCATCATAACATAATCTCTCCCTGATAATTTTGTGTAACTAAAACCAGAACAAACTTTGTTATAAGCTAAAAAAATGTAATCAGTGAAAACCAAAGAACCCAATAAGTACCACTAATTTCTATATGCATAATTAATGTTACACTTCTGGGAAAGTTAATTATATGTCATGTTTTATTTTCAATTATTATTTCTTACATATAGGAATGCTATTAGCAGGTAAAAAAGCCAAAGAAAATTCCTTAGAGTTCATTCAGAATAATTTTCTACATCTATGTTCTCCAGCAATATATGAAACTGGAAGTTCTCAGGAGAATTTACAGCTTTTAATACTTAATGTTTACCTGTAATGTACTGTACCTGCTCCTGACTGCTGATGGGTGACTAAAGACCAAATTTAGCTGTTTTCTTTGGGTGATTTTTCTGCTTGTGTATTTTTTATTTGGAAATTGTAGCCAAATACTGCTAAAATTAGATTTGAGACATTACAGATTAAACAAAAGCGGCCTTTTCAAATCTACTTTTATTTAGGGAAAACAGATGATGCGAAAGCTTCAGAAAAAGTGAAAACTCCCCTGAAAGGAGCCTCCATTCAGCGCTCTCCATCGGATGCAGGAAAAAGCAGCGGTGATGAAGGAAAGAAGCCTCCCTCTGGCATCGGGAGGTCAACTGCTACTGGCTCCTTTGGATTCAAGAAGTCCGGGATGGGATCTTCTACCATGATAACCACAAGCGGAGCAACCATCACGAGTGGGTCAGCGACCCTAGGAAAACTGCCAAAATCTTCAGCCATTGGTGGGAAGTCCACCGCAGGGCGGAAGACGAGCTTGGACGGCTCCCAGAACCCAGAGGACGGCGTCCTGCACGTGAACTCGAAGGCGACTCTGCAGTACCGGAGTTTGCCTCGCCCCTCAAAATCCAGCGGCAGCGGGATCCCCGGGAGGGGCGGCCACCGCTCCAGCACCAGCAGCATCGACTCCAACGTCAGCAGCAAGTCTGCGGGTGCTGCTGCCACCAAACTGCGAGAGCCAAGCAAGATTGGGTCCGGGCGGTCCAGCCCCGTCACCGTCAACCAGACGGACAAGGAAAAAGAGAAAGTGGCCGTGTCTGATTCCGAGAGCGTCTCCCTGTCCAGTTCCCCCAAATCCAGCCCAACTTCAGCAAGTGCCTCTGGCACACCAGGACTTAGGCAGCCGGGATCCAAATACCCAGACATCGCCTCCCCCACCTTTCGAAGGTTAGTGCTTTTCTGTGCATTCCTGAGGTTGCAGTGTATAAAGCAGGGTTTCTCAATGTGTTGAAGTGCTGGGCAAAAAGCCTTTTCAGGGTATATTTTACCACAGAGGACCAAGTGCAAAAAAAAAAAAAAATAAAAGAATGATTTTTTTCACACAACACGATTATTTCTCTAAGATCTAAAGACCTTCCCAGACCTGAAATGGCTGTTCCTTGAGCTTTGCAAGTTTTAGGTACATTCCCATACCAACAGTTGGAGGGCTAGCAGAAGCTGGGTCCCTTCCAGCTCGAGATATTCTGTGATTCTAAGTTCAGGCCCATAAGAGGTTCCCTCTCAAAACACTGTTAAATCCCTAAAGGGAAGAAGGAAGCCACGTTCAGGCACATTCTGTTACTGCACCAGGCAATGCCAAAGCCTGGACAGAGAACTGAAGAGCTCTATAGATCATAATAAAGCATTTGCATTCACATTGCTGGCAGCTCCAGCTACAAACGTTTCATTATCTTAGCAGCTTTGTTACATCTTTCGTCACAAGCATTAGCAAAGCTGAATTTCAATTGGAAATGTCCTATTGTAACGTTTCTGGAAGTATGAATCTGGTTGAAGTATAAACGGGATGGAGCATTGCATGGTTGGCGAGAAAGCCAATAGTGCCCTCTTGTGCCTACTTACCAAAACAGCATCTCTAGGCTGCTGGGGAGCTGCAGCCCTTTTTTGTGGGCTTGGTAATATGTAATGAGTTCTTGTGTTATTAGCCATGCTTACTTTACATCACAATAAGTTTTGCGTTTATTTCTTATTAATTCATGAGCTGCACCCTAACTGCAGCTTAAAATGTTCCCACTAAGACATTAACTCATCACATGACCTTTTATTTCAACAGTTTTAGGGGACTTGGGGTTTATTTTTTCATCATCACTGTAGAATTTTCTCCCTAGAACTGCTGGAAGCAATTATGTGAATATACACCTTTACCATGAGTGTCCTTGGAGACAAACCAAGCCCACTTAGCTTTGGTGCAGTTTATTCTGTCTGAATGGTTACTACATGACCAATGACCACACAACCATGTGTGCAAAAGAACATGAGGGAAATTTTATGCAAATGCTTAGATGTTTCTTAAACTATGAAGGATTTTGCAAGTGTTCGTTGTGATCATTTTAGCTAATAGGGGGGGGGGGGGTTTAAAAGCTAATGACATAAGTCATGGGAATGCTTAATTAAATGAATCTGGGTGAAAGTGTAATCTGTTTATGCACTACTAAGACAAAAAATGTGATTATTTTAACTCTCTCTGGGAGGGTCTGTTTGTGCAAAGAGCACATCTGAACAGGAGTGAATGAGAGCTGTTGCTAATGAAACAAATCCTGACTATCGCGATATGGTTAAGTGAATTTAATTTTGCAATGCGATTGATCGACTAGGTAGGCATGGTTTTGGTAGCAGCAATTAAAAATGTGTAGTTTGGCTCTTAGGATGTTACGCCATGAATGTTTAATGTGGCTCTCAGTTTCTCTAAAGCTATTTGTTTTACATTTAGGTTGTTTGGTGCCAAGGCAAGTGGTAAAGCTGCCTCTGCACCCAGTACTGAAGGTGTGAAACCCACATCGGCAATGCCCAGCCCTAGTACCACATTGGCACGGCAAGGCAGCCTGGAATCGCCATCCTCGGGCACAGGCAGCATGGGCAGTGCAGGTGGGCAAAGTGGTAGCAGCAGCCCCCTCTTCAGTAAACCTTCGGACTTAAATGCAGATGTTGTAAGCTTAAGTCACTCCTTGGCTTCCAGTCCCGCCTCAGTGCACTCTTTCACATCAGGTGGTCTTGTGTGGGCTGCAAACCTGAGCAGCTCTTCAGCGGGCAGTAAGGACACACCAAGTTACCAGTCCATGACTAGCCTTCACACCAGTTCCGAGTCTATTGACCTTCCTCTTAGCCATCATGGCTCTCTCTCTGGACTGACAACAAGCACTCAGGAGGTTCAGAGCCTGCTCATGAGGACTGGAAGCGTCCGATCTACTCTTTCGGAAAGGTGAGCTTGCCTATAGATACAGTGACACAAAAACAGGCAGAGGCAAAAGGACAGGAGCCAAAAAGTAAAACTTTGACCAGTTTTCCAAAGGGGACGCTGTTTAATTAGCATCTTAGTCCCTTATGTAAAAACGAAAAAAAAAAAAAGGAAGGAAGAAAAGAAAGCTGAAAGGCATTGGTTGTGGAATCAACTGCCTTTTAAGGTTTTACAAGCACTTTTTCTATCTTGAGAAATTGTTTTTTGTTCCCTTGTTCTGGACAACAACCTGAGAAAATGGGAAAATTGTCTAATTAAAGGCAAATCTAAAGGGCCACTTAATGATTCCTGAATGCTGGATCTACCTGCTGTCCCAGCTATTGGCAGTCCCAAAGTTGTATCATCACCCACTTGCTAACAAGTCTTCTCCAGCAGTGGGACCCCGCCAGTTTTCTTCCCATTAGCTCAGAACACTGGCAGAGCTGGTGGGTCCATGCCTTTAGCTGACCAGTCTTGCTTTAAAATACTCAGTCCAAACATGATGCTTCTTACATGCAGTCATTGCACAGATACTTACTACAACGCAGTTTCACTGGCAGTGAAACTCTCTGTTAAAGACTTTTTTGATATGTAGATGTTTTACCATTTAATTTATATTATAAGAGGAACAACAACACTAGCACAGTTGTACCAAAAAGAGCTTCTTTTTTTCCTTCTGTGAAATTCTTTATTTGACCTTTGCAAGAGAGAAAAAATAATCTTTGCTAGGCAATAAGTAATTTGCACTTCCTGTGAAAATTTTCAAGCTTTCACAGTGACACTCTTATCTCATATGGGGACTGAAAAAAAAAATCAATATTAAATATATCATTATCCTTTGACCGAATAAAACAAAATTACACTGGGTTAGAAATGATTTTTAAATTATTTAATGTTAAACTTAATAGTTTAAAAACAAAATAATTTAAAGGAAAAAAAAAATCTTTTACATAAACTGTTAAGATTTTTTTTTCCCTTTATATAAACCCAGAGACCTTGCAATACCAATCCTTTCCATGGAAAGAGTTCACTTTCAGTGAATCAGCATTTAAAAAAAACCAAACCAACCACAAACAAATCCTAAACAACTCTTTGCCAGATAGAGATGAAAACTCTCTGCACATTTCCTTCTCTTATGTTACATTTATAAGTTTTACCATGCAGGCTAAAATCCCAGCTTTTACTAATATAATTACAACACTATAAAATCTATGTGTCTACCAATATAATGCATGCTAACAATAGTTAAAAATACACTGATATAGTAGTAATTTGTAATTTGCCCTGTGCCTTTATTTTTTAAATAGTAATTTGAGTCATGTGCCATGAACTGAATATTATTATATTTCTTAGAAAAATAGTTATTAATAATAAGTTTATAAAAACCTTCATTAATTTTTAGTGCTACATATGGTAAGGTCAATAGAATTATGTGGAAGAATATCAATTTGTGCCAAAGATCATATTTATACAGAGGATGTTAAACATCACATTTAAAATGTTAATGGTTTGGCATAGGCTCTTGAGCAACCCCTGCTACTAATACTTCATGTATTTGTTCAGTGACTTAATTTCAGTGTTTCCAAATACTTTGCCTTTGGCAATATTTTTAAGTTTCAGATTTGTCCATATGGGGATAGTATGATTGAATCCAGAGAGAGCCATTTATCATATTGATCTGGCCTCAAAACAAATATATGTACCTAGAGAAAATGGTGTCATTTCTTGAATTATAGCCCCAAGAGGGTTTTGTAGTTTGATTTTTCTGAAAGGTCTGAAAGTGCTGTGTTATTTCAAAACTGTTTTATACAGTAAAACCTACATGTAGCAAAATATTTTTTCACAACAAAAACAGTGGTTTGCAATGTTAGAGACAGATACGTTTGGCAACAGAATATGCTCTTTTTTCCTTTGTGAACTCAGATTATGTTTGAGATGCTTCTGGCAATACTAGTTTTAGCCTGGCATGACACAAGAAATTATCTGCTAAAAGGCTTATCCTTTTTCTTCAGCCACTCTAGAGCATCCAAAAGACTGAATGAGCAGTCTATAGTAATACAATGCAGAGAAAAGTCTGAAAAACTGAAGCACAAAATGAGTTATGACTAGCAAGTGAAATAAAGTCTATGCAGAGAAAGCCTAGGGAAAGCTAAAAGAGGAGAGCTAATAACAGATATAAATATGGTTTTGCTTCATTGAATCATTAACTGCAATTTGGTAGCTAAACATCACTAATAACAAGTATGCTAAGAAGGAATGAAAAGTTAGATTACTCAAGTTTACTGGTTCTGATGAACTTTTGTCATCTTGCTTCAAGCAGTGTCAAGTAACCCTGCAGTCATCAGGACTGAAGAAGAGGTTTCAAAGGGTCTGTGCTGAGGCAGGAGTGAGGAGGGCTGGGTTGGAGAGAGAGGGGTTTATGGGTGAAGCCACCTTGTCTTGGCTCCTGGAAAGATACAGAGGATATGAAACAAAATGAATTAAGTACCAGATAACATGGGATCGCTCATTCACAGCCTTTTAAGTAAGATTAGTTTAATTCATTTGCAACAAAACAAGCTTTGTGAGTAGGGGAAAGGAACTGGCAGCTACAATAAAAAATCCAGAACTTAGTAAAGCTTTAGGTGCTATTTCAAATACTATTGTCATAAGCAAATGAGGGAAATAATGACCAGTTAGTAGAGAGTTCCAGAGTAGTGATCAATAGTTTATTTGCCTGAAGGTATATAGCAGGGCATGATATATTTGCAGAGATCCAAAATGGCAAATGATGAGGTTAATTGTGGTAAGGAGATGGTGTGTAAGAGGTTGTAGTGCCATTTCTGGGACAAAGAATTTTCCGAGGATTTTGCAAATGAAAGTATCATTTGTAAGTCTTAGAAATTAGTTGCCCCATTCTACTTTTTCATGTTAAGGCTTTAACTTGAAGAATTTGGGATATCAGGCTTTAGGCAAAGATTTGGTGCAATTGGAAAAAACTCAGAAAATAAACCAAAAATTTCAGGGTACATCTGTGTTTCCTGCTAAGGAGAGTAGCTATTAACTGCCTCCAAAAAAAAGCAGTCACCTGCTGTGGAGACAGCAAATCTGCAAGGTCTCTGCTACATTTGCCCACACATCCCTCCAGGGATGATGAGACATCACCTACATCCAGTTTTCAGGCTACCACCCAAGCAATGCTATGGCATAAGCTTAGTTTTCCCTTACAATTGCTGTATTGATACAGTGTCAAAGTTTACTTCCGCCAAATTTTGTGGCACTCAATGAAATTCTTTTGCATTCTAATAACAAGAATTATCAAGAATGTTCAGTAAATACTAGGAAAATACTTGCTTTTTCAGCAAAATTTACAGCTCCCTTAGGAGATGCTGGTTTTTGCACTAGCAATATTTGGTTAAACAAGTCTACTTTTGTTGTCATAGCAGTGTAACTCCCGATGTGGGAGAAAACTTGCATGTTATCTTACATCAGTTTAGAGGGATGAAAATAAATGGTACAGATACTTTAAAATAAAGCCATCTACTGGGGTTAATTGTTGAAATATGGCTGCTATAATTGATAAAATTTCCAGGTGGGCACATTACCAACAGTTCTTTTAAACCTTTAAATGCTGATGGGCATAGCAAATTTGTGGCTTGGTCTGAGTGACAGAGCATGGGATGAATAAAAAAATGCAGAAATGTAGGAATTAACAGTGGTCTCATCAGCAATAATGGCTGTATTTTAAGCTTAGCAGAGTGGAAATTATTTCTAGTTACATAACTGGCTTGCTCTGGTTTACTTTAAAACAATGTTTAGTTTTGAGGGCTGTGAAAGTGCATTGAAATCCACTTAAGCTCTTCAAGGTGTTCAATTGTTTTAGATTATCATCATAGTTGATGGTTATGGTTTTAAGGTGTGAAACAGTGCATCATGTATCACATTTTCTTGTGTGCTCAGCCATTTGTAGAAACTCACTTTTAAGACTCATATCTGCTTGGTCCAGCCTGTCCTTGCCCTCCCTAGGTGTTTCTTAGCTTGCCGTAATTAGTTTTATTCCCTAACAGCTCTGCAACAGTTAGATATAGCCCAAGGATATTGCATTATGGCCATTTCCCATGTTAACATCAACACCAAGTGCAGGTGGGAAACTGAGAGCTGCACGGCTTCCCATAATTTCTCCCCAGCCCCCCAAGAACGTGCAGACAGTTTCAGCAGTCTAAAATAAACAAAAGGGAACAGTGACATCAGTGGGTTTGATAACTTCAGCCTACATCTGCATACATCTTCCTGCAAGGCTGATTTCTGCAGCAGACATGGCAAAAAATTATCAGGAATACTACGATACCCTCATCCACACTTTATATTAGTATTTGCTTTGAGCCAAAGAGACACATTTCCATGTATGCATTGCTCCTTTCAGGAAAGGGCTGACTTGTGTTCATATCCTCTTTAGAGATCTTTTCAGCACTGCGGTCAGGTCAGTTTTATTTCCCAAAAGTCTGCTTTATGTAGAAGTAATATACACAGCTTTTGTTTGGAGGAATGCTTTCAGATACTAAAAAGATATGGGCAGTTATAAGTCTGAATTAATAGTTATGTGGAACTATTAATGGTTTATTAATAAAACCATTTATTTGTGGTTTCATGCAATTATCTGAAATCTAGGAGCATCTTTCAAGGTTTAGTATTTTGAAAACATAGGATGAATGTTTGCTACATTCACTTTTATGCAGTTGCAATAACTCCATGCTCATCTTGAGAAATATTCACCTCTATTTCATTTAAGTATCTGAATTTAAAAGTTGTTTAGCAAAATCCCATGGTCACTGTTAGCCTATTTATCTGACTGACTGATAACTTTTGGCTTGTGGATTGCTTTAAAGGAGCATTGATTGGTTCTTTTATTTTTAGATAACATGGTATGTATTATTTTGAAATACATAGAATTTCAAGTTAAGTAATATTAGAAAAAAATTAGAAAATTTATTAGGATATTTGAAGTATTTGCAGAGGAAACTGGTGTTTTTATTATGGTCATGTTTATTTGTTTTGAAATTTAGAGGTGCATAAAGGTACATAAAGGAACATCAAGGCCCCGTTCTCTGTAAGGAGTTAAAAAATCTGTGGATCCCACATTCAAATTTATATTATCTTTTTACCAGCCATTCTGGGTCCTTTTAGATATCTTGGGAGCAAAATGCTGAAAATATAGTCCTTTATCTGGTAGAGGACTACTCTCACATGGACCATGATAGCTGAACTCTTGCTACGTTTCTCCTGCTGTTTGCTTTCTCCGTATGCAGAACAAGGCCCTGATTAAGCTAGTAGAAGCACCTATAAAACTTCTTGATGGTAAAAGTGGTTTACTTCCATTAGACTGGGCCTTAATGGTAATGGATTGTTAATTCCAACTGTGCCTTTACCTGCTTGCATCAAGGTTACATAACTGTAGGACACCCAGCACCCCTAGCACAATAGACAGTGACCTGTAATAATGGTGTGAGAGTTTTCTCAGGTAGGAGGGGCCCTAAGTGACTTTTGCTCTCAGGGGTGTGTTTATTATATGTAATACAGAAACATTCTAAAGCCGTTTTACAATTTAATCCACATAGTGCCACTAAATCTTGTTCCTGAGGGACAAAAACAGTGCAACATTTAAATTTATGATAACATTTAACTTTATAATTTAACATTGGACTTGATGATAAATAGTTCAAATTCAACCCACCACTAGTCAGGGACCAGTCAACCAAGTCTTTATCAAGAAATGCCAAAATGATACTTATGTGAAGGAAGGCTAGTGTGTGCCCTTCCAGTGATGGAGGAATTAGGGAATTAGGAAAACTGCAGCCATAGGTTTCTGGTAATCAGCCACTCTGCCACTGTGTGTACACGAATATGGAACAATGTTTCTCTGATGCCACTCTTCATTGTCCCAAACAACGCCTTACTTTGTGAGCCATACAATAACAGAAAGCCAAGGGTCTGTACATTTAGCATGTATTTACGTGCAGAGCTGTCATTTAACTTCTAGCAAGGCCATGCTGTCTCTTAGCAGGTGCCACAACCTTCATTTCTTTCATAATTCTATTGGCATGTCATAGGCAACTGTGAAAAATAAAGATTCATACTGTGACCATACGATTCTTGCACGGAATGCAGGGTAAAGCTGTAGGAAGTTTAGAAATGCTAAGGAAGGAGTTCTTTCTGGCTTGGACTCCCTCCAAATTACTATTGACCCAGCCCAGAGCATGTCTAGATGAAAAATGAATGTGCAGCAGTCCATGCCCTATTGTCCCTTTCAATGAGTCAGGGATTTATCATGAAAGATATATTAAAAAGCATTAAATAACCTTTGGTTATGCACACAAATCTAGAGCTTTAAAATTTGTAATTCTGAACAGTCCTGTTTACTGTATGTCCTTAGGGATTTTTTTTGTTTTAACAGCATGCAGCTTGACAGAAATACACTACCCAAAAAGGGATTAAGGTATATATTTTTTTTGAGCATGACTGCTGCTTCTCTCTTTTCCTGTAACCTTTTCTACACTGTCTTTCCTTTTCTTCTTTTGTTGATCCTGTTTATAACAGAGTTTTTGGTATTTAGATTCAAACCAGAAAATGTAGATTTTAACAATGGCATTTTTCTTTCCGAGTCTGCCTAGTGAATAAATTTCCTTACAAGATGCAGCATCCAAAGTGAATACTGTTAAGGATAGTTTCCTTATGCGATGGATCTTAAAAGGCATTGCATCCTGGAGAACTGAAAGAGCCAGAACAAGATACTTGAAAAACAAGGTTTTAGAGGTGGATCTGACCTTGAACTCTAAATGCAAACATTCATGCAATTTGAATTGAAGATCTAGTAAAGGGTAGGGCTAAAAAATGCTCATTTTCGTATCCAGGATATAAAATGAGCCCTGCTCCAGCTAATCCTCTTGGTCCCTATCCAGCAATGCTCAGAGTCCAACTTTGCTACTCATTTCCCACTAATTAGAGCTGTCTTCATCACAGAAAACAGAAGTCATCCACCCTTTTCTGCACTCCATGCTTGAAAGAGTGGATCATTAGGTAACTCTTCTGATCTCATCAGGCATGAAACTTCCTAATCCAGGAAGGAGATTTGGCAAGCAAGGATATATGTGCATTCACACAGACACTCTGCAGCCTTTCAGTCACCGAAATGACACAGTTAAATCTCTTGAGTTATTGATAAATAATATTTTATGAAATTTTAAGATAGTGCTAAAGTGTTGTCACTAGAAAGCACCTTCTGTTTTTCTGCACTAACTGTCCCTTATTAAGAATGTCATCAGTTTTCACATTACCCCAAAACAATCATTTTTGATTTGGAGAGAATGGAAAAGGTGGAAGACATGAAAGAAGCATAAAGGACATGCTGTCAAGGTACAATGGGATGGTTGACTTTTGTAGCTGTATAAATGTAATGATGGCTGAAAGCTGAAAGTGAAATGGAGTGGGCAAACAGCTTATAGGCATATAAGCCTGATCAGTTATCCCAGAAACACCATCAGTTTGATTTAATGTGCAGAGATCCCAGTCCAAGACCCAGATCCTGAATTCTCATTTTGCCATCTTCCTGATCGGATAACCACTGGGTAACTCTGCTCTGCCACATCTATACACAAGGATCATAACTGTCTTTTTGAAAGGAGAAAAGAAGTGAATATTTAATCAGGACAAGATGTTTTAATGCTGTAAAATATTGTACAAAACCCGAAGCACAACATGAGAATTTATATGTTCATTTAATCTGCCTTCTAAGCAGAAGTACTGGTGCCTCATAAGCCTGCAGCCAGAATATCAAAAGCTCTTTCTACTCTGCTGTTTAGAGACACACTGATGGCTCATAACAATGGTGAAGAAGGTGCTAATTTCTCAGCAGAAGATTATGCTGAGTGAAGCAGGCTAGTGCAGACTTTGCTAAAAACAATCTCTTGATTAAGACCCACATTGCCTGCACATTTTACTGTTTAACGATTGCCAAAATTGCCCTTCTTCCAACCCAGTCAAAAGAGGTTGGGTCAGTGAGTTACCAGTTCTCCCTCTCAGACCATGTGTCTAGTTGCACTTTGTTTTATTGGTTTGCCATAAGAAGCAGTTGATGAATTATTTGATCGCCAGACTTCTTCCTTCCAGACAACTTGTTTCTGCTAATTGTGGATTTTTTCCTGTCCCTTTCCCTCCCCCCAGTCTTGGTCAGGACACAATGCCAAACAGCTTTCAGGGTGGCAGACCACACGTGTGACCATGAGTAACTGTCATTACCAATGAAAATTCCTTTTTCAGAATTGTTGATCTGTTTCACTCCTGTCATCTAACCAATTGCCCACATGATCTGTGGCAGATGTCATTTTGTAAGCAGCTACTCACATTTCTTGGCTTCTTGTCTGTCCATTCCCCATCCTAGCCATACAACTTCCAAGCTTTTCCATCAAGCTGTACAATTCCTATAGCTTTGAAATCCTTATCTGTCAGCTCAGTTGTCTGTCTTCTGTGATTTACCTTCTATGATTAACTCTTCAAAGGAAGGGAATGCTGTTTTGGGGAGGGGGATGAAAGGGATTTCAATCTTGTACTTTTTCTGTTGTAATAAGATGGTAAATTTTACCTTGTTAAAATCCCTTGCGATAATCACTGGACTAGACTTGATGTTTTCCAATGATTTTGTTCTAACTGGTGAAGGGTATTTATGTGTCACCTTTTTCTTTCTAAACCATCACCTTGTCATTGTTTTGAGCATGTCAGCTGTGGTTTTTCAGATATACTCCATCGTCCCGGCAGACCAGTCAGGAGGAAGGCAAGGAATGGCTACGCTCCCATTCAACTGGAGGCCTGCAAGACACTGGCAGCCAGTCCCCACTTGTTTCTCCTTCAGCTATGTCTTCATCTGCAACTGGAAAATACCACTTTTCCAACCTTGGTAAATGCCATTTCCCTTCACTTTCTCACACCCTTTAGCTGAATCATAAAATTCAACTATTCATATTTCTTAGTTTGCCAAACTAGGTATTTTATTTTAACAGGTCCATCACCATATTGTGGTACCTCACTAATGAAGGGAAACCCATAGTGTTTTTGATGGAGTAGGCCAGTGTATCTCACATTTTGCATACAGAAAGAAAAAAAAAAGAAAGCATAAATTCTCTGTGACCTGTCCATGGAGAAGAAAATCTGAGGCAAAGCTGGAAATTAGATTCTAATTCCAAGCTACTCATTTTTTAGGATTCACAGTCAGTAGAATTCTTTCCAGTGATTTTAGTGAATGCCAATCCAGACACTAAACATTGGGTTTATTCTATATACAGGTTTGCCTTGACATAGGCCTTTCCAGTGCATTTCAATGCCTAGACCTTCAATAACTGGGCCAAATCCAAATAGAATTTTGATTTGGGGAATCCCAGCCTTGAATGCAGTATAATATTTTGGGATTTGAGTCACATTCCAGATTTATTTGATTACAGGCCAAGATTTAGATTTGGTTCATCTGGATCTTGTTTCAAGTTAATCCAAGACAAATTTAATGTTGTTAATTTTTTTTTTTGTCTTTAATGCTTAATAGAAAACCCATGCTGGATGCATACCTAGGTTCTCTATAAGCTTTTGTGTTTTAATGGTTACTGTGAAATTAGCAGCAAACTTTGAAGCATTCACACTTCCATCACTCTGTCACAGCTTATGGCATCTGTAGGTTACAATTGCTCAGAAGAAATTTGACCAGACCTACAAATGTTTGGTTTCATTTTATATGGGAAAACTAGTTGAACAAAGCCACTTTTAAAAATGAAATTGGATCCTGACTAAGTAAGCCACTGCTCTGGATTTCTTCCATGTACTTGTTTTAGACACAGCTTTTTTTAAGCAGTGTTTCTTTCACTCTGTCATTTTCTGTTTACAATTATCTTCTTTTTATTTTTGTTCTTTGTTCTTGTACTCACAACAGAGAACAATGTGAACAGTTTTTTTTAAAATTTATTTTGTCACTGTTCTTTACTTCTTTGCATTATTATAGCCCTGTGGACTAATTTGCTCTCACAACACAGCCGCTCTGGTAGTTTATTGACATAAGGCACATCTTGTGTGATCTAAACTAAAAGTTCAAACACTGAGACTGAATTTGGATAGGAAATTAGCTTTTTCTTCAAGGAATTGAATTCATGTGGTCCAGGTGAACCATAACCGGGCTTCCCTTCTTACTGGCAAACAAACTTTGTGGAAACTTAGAGAAGGTTCATTAGCACTCTTCTAGATTTCAGCCATGAGTAATTGGACTAGTCCTGTCTACTGTGATGGGACTCAACTGGCCTGTGCAGGAATTGTAACATAATGTAGTGGTAGGTGCTGTAGGAAATCAAAGGATAAATTTCTTGTATATGCCAATAAATTTTGATCTTAACAGGAGTCGGTAATATATATAACAATAAAATGCAGATAGTGATTTATCAGGAGAGCTGCTTATAGAACAATACTTACGACTTCTTATTCCTTTTTAACTTTTGAATCTCTCCCGTTGGTTTTCTGTCTTGGGCTGTCAAACTGAACAGGTGTGTATTCACACACTAGTGTTAGTCCTACTATGCGGTTTACAGGATTAGTCTTATTCGGCTCCAGCTTGTTGAGGATCATCTGCTTCACCTTTTTGTGATGGCTTTGTATGTAGGAATCAAAGCCTTTAATGTTCTCAACAGCATAAAGTCCATCTAACCATGCTAGTCCTACATCACAGTTCTGTGCAGAACCACAATTCATTTAGTGGAAATCTACTTCATTAATAAAGCTTTGTATTGCAGTGAGTCCAACCAATCTATCTCAGTTTAACCTTCCTGGACCCAGTATGATGCGTTCAAACAGCATCCCTGCACAAGACACTTCTTTTGATCTGTATGATGACTCCCAACTGTGTGGCAGTGCTACATCCTTAGAAGAGAGACCACGAGCGATTAGTCATTCAGGTTCATTCAGGGACAGCATGGAAGAAGGTAAGACTGAGTTACTATCTCAATCAGTGAATAGCTCCCCAAACAGGCCCAAAATGTAAAATTTTAAAATATTTCTTCTGCAACATAAAAAATAATTTTGTGAAGCTTTTTTTAAATTCTGTTGAGCTGGACTCACAGGACTTTCTTACTTTAAAACGTGGTGGATGTTTCTTTGACACAGTAATATGCAATGTCATGTATCAATCCTTCAAAAGAAATTTTGGGGGAATGGAAACCATTCTTGGAAAACTATTTTATTTTCTGTGCCTCTAAATCTGAGGTATCGGAGCAAACCTTGACTACTGTGGTTTCATGCTTTCTTAGTCCTTCTTTTTTTTTCCAAATGCCAGTGCTATTTAGCAGCCCCTTTCTTTTCTATTAATTTCATTTCCCTGCTTCCCTAGAGCCTCCTACAGCAAATACTGTGTGGATTTCTGTATTTATACTCTGTTGTTTAATCTGACCTCCCTACTTTCTGTATGCAGGTCACTACTGTTGGACTAGTTTCTTTAATGTCATGTACAACACCTCGAATTTGGGGAATAACGTTTGGTTTGGTTTTGTTTATTGTTCTTTTTTAAACCACAGAGCATCCCTAATCAAATGCACCTTTTCTTTTACCTCACATTTCTGGTAAATCTGATTATTTGCAGAATTCCCATAAGCACAAAGTTCTCACACCTTTTAATTTTAAAACAAACAAATGAACAACAATGAAAAAAAAACAAACCAACAACCAAAAAAAAAAAAAATGGAGATTCATTCTAGAACATCATCTCATCCATCTTGCATACTGCTAAATTACATTATAATTATATATATATGCATTATGTTATATATAATGTAATTGTAAATTACATTATAAATGGCTTTTATAACAATCAAATAAAAAAAGTCTTCCCCTAGCCCCAAAGTTCATAGTTATGAGATAAAAGGTGGGGGAAAAAGTCCTAGATGGAACAGCAGACAACTAACACTTTTACTTCTCAAGTCCTTCTTCGGTATTTTAGATGACATGTCAGGCAGACATCTGTGTATGTGATTCTAGCAGTAGGGTGCAGGGCAGATCAAGCTGTGTGTTGTCAGCACAGAGAGGATGGCTGACTGCACAGAAGCATATCACATAATTCAAGGACAGAGATGACTATAGACTATTTGCTGAGGAACAGGAATTATCAAAGGAAACACTGGATGAATAATAGAGAAAAGGCAAATAATTTATGCATAGAAAAAGAGGTGTTAAATCTAGAATTTCAGTAATGGGTCACCAGTGGGTTTGATAAAAGCTTTTTCATTGGTCATGTTTCATATCCAGCTGGAGTGGATAACCATGATCAACCTGAGTAAATGAAAGTCAATGCAGCAATAATAAACAGTTTTCAGCAGTTTACGGTCATTAGAGATTAACATGAAATGATGCTGCTGAAAGGCCAAATATATTTTATTTAAGATAGGAGCTCTGAGGAAGGTTATAGTGAAGAAGTGAGGAAATGGGTAGAACCACCGTGAGAGGAGAATGGGAGTTTAGCTGAGATTTAAAGCAAAGACTGAAAACCCCAAATAGCTTGAAAGCAGCAGAGTTTCAATGGCCACCTTTGTACCGCTCTTTTGTAAATATTTACCCAGTTACAAAACTGGGTTTAAAGTCTATTTGTCTAATCCAAGGATTCTTATATTGTCAGTTTGGCATATGGATGCCAGGTAGCTATTAAAGCAAAATAATTTATTTACCAAACCCTGGCTCATTATAAATATTAAACAAATTTCTTTTGAAACAAACATAAAAAGAATTAATGAAAGAAATTGTCATCTTTAAAATTCTCTGTTGGTGTACTTTTCCTCAGGAGAGCCATCAGAAGTAGAAGGGGCAATTTTATTTCAGTGTAGTCTTCACTTGCTATTTTAAGAGAGGATAGGAACCACATTTTTTGAGTTGAAGTCTTGCAACATTCAATCAGTGCTCTTGAGACTAATTCTACTGATGATTAGTGGACATACAGCACTGTGTCTCGCAGTAACCCCTTCACAAGGGCTACAAGTACACGGGTCTGCATTGTGTTGAGGACAGAAACCAGCTGAGCAAAGCCTGGGAGTTCACCCCAAAGAGTGTGAACTGTTTTGCAAAGCCTAGCCACTTATTAAAATCAGTTTGCTTAGCTTTGGACAGGTGTATAAACAGCTCAATTTCTGGTTTCTCTGAAGAGTGTATTTATCAAGTGATTTGTTGTCAAAACAACAAAAGTGATGCTTGGTTTGCTGGTAATAATATGGAACCTCACTGACTTGCTCTCCTGCCTCATACACAGCAAAGTGCTTTTTCTGTATAGAACAATCTTTTTAAGTGCAGGGAAAAAAATATCAATAGCTTTTCTATACTGATAACTCATAATTACTCTTTGTGGAAGATTGATTCTCATTTTAAAAAGAGGTTTTGTTATTGAGCTACATGGGGGAAGTTTTATGCTTTTATCAATCTTTGACGCTATTTTCCTTTTTTTAAAGTACACGGGTCCTCATTATCACTTGTCTCCAGCACATCCTCTCTATACTCTACGGTGAGTATTGATGTTTTAGAAAAAAGTTCTGCCTGCCTCTGTTGTTCATTGTTCATGAAACTTTCAATACTTTGAGATTTAGAACACTTTAAATTGTACTGCAGTAAAGCAGGAACATTTGTTTTCCACTTTGGTATTACTTTTATGCTATTTTAGAATACATTATTTTCATCTGTTTATGTGACTTGCTTAGAACTTAAAATCACCTACTGTGCATTTTGAAAGCTAAAAGGAATGTAATGGTCAAGGAGTCTCTAAAGGCAGGGGTGTTTCTTATGCTATTGTAGTTAATAATATTAAGTGATTTTGCTTATTTTCAGCTAGTTTTTCTAATTGCACAATTTACAAACTGTTTTTGTCCTGTCACTGGGGTACATTTCTTGAAAAACACAATTGCTTCAAGGTAAGGGAGATAAAATTTGCAGTTTAAATGTCTACTGAACTTTGTTACAAATTACAGCATTTAGATGTTATTTCCAAAGAGAAGTGTTTCTTTTAAAAATTATTGATCTTATTTAATTAGATTGAGTAATAACTGTATTATAGATCAAGCTTAAATTCTGCTTTTGATTTTTGTCTCTATTTTATTGTTTTCTGGTATCATTTTTGAGATCTGCTGCATAATTTGTTGCTTCAGTTGTTCTACTAATAAGAAGTCATCCATATGGGAAGCGTTAAACGCATCTGGACATTCCCTTGCTGATAGACCACAGTTGCTTTGCAACCTATTAGCTAACTACAATTACATGCTGTAGTAGCCCTTTTTCACGGGAGGTCAACCCACTTGTCTGCTGTTACACCATGCTTTCATGAATAGTCTTTCTCCTCTCCATATTTTTAAGAGTTGAATAGTGTCAGCTGACATCATGGGAATGACATAGATTCCTCTACACAGAGCCAGCACCAGTTCTTGCCTGGGAATACTGAGCCCATGCAGTCTGATGCATTTGTACCATTTGGTGGCCCTACCACAATGCTAAACTCATGTTGTCTTGGAAAGTGTGTTGCATCCATGCACAATGTCTACCACAACAATGCTTCTCCTACATCTGTTTGATCATAAAAAACACTTATACAGGCTCATGTCTAAAAGGTCAGGTACACACATATTAGGTTTGTTCAGGCCTTAAGCAGCAAGTTGCAAGCAATTTCTGTCCAAGAACAGTCGTGAATTATTTTGGCTTGGTAGAATGTACATACAGACTGCCTGGACGAGAGGTATGACTAACATTAAAAACAAAGTTTCTCACTGATGTTTTGGTAGTCAAAAAATCTTTACTACTATTTCCCTGTCTGTGAACTCAGATCATAGATCAGTTTGCATGGGGGGTGGAGGGAGGAATGGGTGTCCGAAATTATAATTCAAGCTTTGATGTCAAATTTTAGAAGAATGTTATGGAACTGATAGATGATAAAAATCAAATTATAAAGTGACACAGGATCCTTTCAGCACCTGATCAGTCACTAAGTCTGAAATATCTCTGCTCTTACCTTGTGTAAAGTAGCAAGAGTTTACTAATGCTTCCTATTCCTATTTCTAACTTACTATCATTCAAGATCACAGAATATCTTGGAAATACTACCTAAATTTGATTATATTGAAGAATACTATTTTCCATGCAAAACAAATTTTAAACTGTTTGCCCAAGTTCGTACCACAGTTCAGATACAAGTTACAAGTTCACATACTCACATTGCAACTAGCACCTCTCCTTAAGTTACAGGCTGTTTATACAAGATAATGGAAGTTACAGAAAAATCTGCAAAGGGCAAGAAAGGAATTAGTATGACAAAATTACTAGGTTTGACCTTTAGGGATGACTTTTGATCAGAATTTCTTCTGCTTGATCCCTCTCGTCCAGTGACAAAGTTTAAATGCTTTGGCCGTTATTCAGAAGATGATGCATAAGTGGAGTATAGAAACATGAAAGGTTACTAATCAGTATCACATCAGTTGAAAGCAGAGAACAATGTTTCATTTGGATGATACAATGCAGAGCCCCATTTCCTCCAGAAAAGCGTAGCTTCACGGGTTTATGGCTTCAACTATTACTGGATTCAAGGAGGAGTACAAGAGCTTTCTTACCTTACTTAAAATCACTACGCAGGATTTTCAAAGCAGCTGCCTTTCTGTAATTATCTCAATCAAATATATTTGTCAGATTTCTCAAGCATTGCCTTAAGCCTTGATGCTAGTGGTTTTCTTCAGCCTAATCACTGGAGAGATTCAGGCAGAGTACTAAATAAAAATCAAGATCTTTATGTACTATTACCAAAAGATACGTGAAAATCTTGAAGTTATTCTTTGAATATTCTTTCTCTGAGAATCAGAATATGAGCTTCAGAAGAGATGTTTCATGATTTGCTGCATTGCAATGAACAAGTCCAGTGAGACTGAAGTTCTGCATTCCCTAGTGTTTTCTGTATGTGTTGGCTTGCTTCTTG